GTTTTACCATTTAATAGCATTTCTAGTATGTTAAAGAGAATAGATAATACAGTTTAGTTAAGTTAGCTTACATTTTAGTGTGAAGTGGTTGAGCAGCGGGCCTAACCATTCTATTGGACCGTCTTTACAAGCCTTAGCAGGAATGGAGGCGTAAGACAGGGCTTAAGTGCAACTCCTGGCCAAGCATCTTTTCAAGCCTTTTCAAGCCATTTCTAACCCCAACCCTAAGCTGTACATGATGTGAAAGAAAACGTGGATTCCTCGTGACCGCTTCAGCACCTTCTTACTGCTCCACGTCCTGTACGTTGATGCTCATGTGCAGTTTCTATGAGCTTTTCGATGAAAGAAACTGGCCCGCATAGCTAGGTAGAGGCCACCATTTCCTTGGTTTTCGCCCCTGGTTGTCTATGGTGGTAAGGATTCGCGCTCACCAGCCGGCGCCCGGTTCATCCCCAGTCAGAATGGTTTTATCCAACGCCCAAATTAACATTTAAAAAGAAACCATATCACAAGAGAAATCCGCTCCTTCTGGAACCGGATTGAAACCAGTGACCTGAGGATGACTAGTTTAAGTACCTACAGTCCCTCCGCCTACCAACTGAGCTTATAGGAGGTGAAGCGGAGCTTCAATCCATGTATATCTATAACACCATTCGTATATCGTGATATATAAGGAGAAACGCAATTTATCTCAACCGAGCAAGCCACCAAGTGGGCACGGTGGCAAGAAAAACTCCCTACAGATGTTAAGAGTGAACAAACCTTGAGTAGGAACCAGAAAATCAGAAGTAACCCATCCTGGGTACACCTGTAACACAGCATAGTATGAAAAGAGATGATTAAGGATTCCATATGGAGTCTCTTTGGCCTTAGAAGTAGCTAGATCCCAGCAATCTGGAATTACCTGGAGTAGATGAGAGCTCCATCCAGAGGTAGGCCATCCAAAATGGATCAGGTAGGTCCAGGAGGCAGAGGGGATCAGGATCTCTAGTATCTCCATAAAATGGGGTGTGGCTGGCTCACGAAGGGGAGGGAGGAGAGAAAAAAAAACTAGGACTGTGCTTAGCATAAGAGAAAGTCTAAAGTCAGGGTAGGCTTGACGTTAAACAAATACGGATTTAAAGACAACAATGAGACTGTGCCTGAGTCCAACTCTAATGAAAGGACTGTTTCCATAAGTGTGGGGCTCCAGAAGAGAAAGCTCATCCCCTCCTACAGCTCTATTCTAGAAAAGCACAAATGAAGCCGCATCTTTTGACTAAGTACGTGGATCATAGAAAAGCAGAAGGTTAAATAGGTGTAGAACATTTAGTTATTATGGGTACTAATATATTTTATAATAAAGGTTTATAGTTATCCTTTGATAAGTGAGTAGCAAACAAATCGTACTATTCAATTTTGCTCTTCACAAGCAAAGCGGCAAAGCCGGATGAAGGGAAACACTAGACTATTTTTTCTGAGCCAATAAACCGTGTTTGTGCATCTTTATATTCTCAATGTTTCTGCCCTTCTTCAATACATTTTACTTCAATTAAGAACCAACCATTACAACTTTCACATGTACACATCTTTATCCAGTTCAAACCACCTTATTTTGTGGAGCTTTTACATGGACATTGTCTCAAAGCAGATGCTTACTCCCATTTCACACTACCAGACAAGACGTGTTTGGCAGCAGCTATTGAATGCTGGTGTCATCTAGCAAAGATTCTCTGCATTAGACTCAGTTCATAGCACTTCAAACTTGCACAGGTAAAGCCCCAGTGAGTCCAAGTCCGAAAAATGCCATAGTCTGTTAGCCATCACGGGTGGAAGCACAGGATAAGGCTTAGGACGGGCCCGTAACCATCTATTGGACCGCTTTCAAGCCTTAGCAGGAATGGAGCATAAGACAGGGCTTAAGTGCAACTCCTGGCAGGCGTCTTTCAGCCTCTTTCAAGCCATTTCTAACCCCAACCCCCTAAGCTGCACATGATGTAAAGAAAACGTATTCTCAGACCAAGCCACCTTCTTACTGCTCATAAGGCAAAGGGGTTAATACACATCATTTCATATCACTTGACTGTTAAAGCCCACAGTTACAAAACATTTAACTCTAAGGAGTACTACCACCCACCAGCGGTAGCAGCTCAGTAATTCCAGCAAATACATCCTGTTTTACCATTTAATACATTTCTAGTATGTTAAGAGAGATAATACAGTTTAGTGTTAGCTTACATTTAGTGTGAATGGTTGAGCAGCGGGCCTAACAAATTTCTGGACCCTCTTGTACAAGCCTGAAGCAGGAACGTGGAGAGTAAGACAAGGCTTAATGCAACCCCCTGGCCGCCGTCTTTTCAAGCCTTTTCTGCCATTTCTAACCCCAACCCTAAGCTGTACATGATGCAGTAGAAAACGCGATTCCTCAGACCAAGCCACCCTCTTACGCTCGGTACAAAACTAACGGTTAATACACATCATTTAATACTTGACGAAACACAGTTCAGTCAAAACATTTAACTCAAAGGAGCTACGCCACTCACACGTAGCAGTCAGTAATTCCAGCAAATATCCCCTGTTTTACCATTTACACATACCTAGTATGTTAAGAGAGATAATACAGTTTAGTTGTTATTACATTTAGTGGAATGGTTGAGAGCCCAACCAAACTTACCTTGGAACAATCTCAAGCTTCGCAAGGTGAATGGAGCTTAAACAGGGGCTTACGTGCAACTCCCTGGCCAGCATCTTTTCAAGCCTTTTCAAGCCATTTCCTAACCCCAACCCTAAGCTGTACAATGATGAAAGAAAATGTGATTCCTCAGACCAAGCCACGCACCTTCTACTGCTCCACTGATCCTGTGCTGATGCCCAGTGCAGTTTCTATGAGCTTTTGATGAGAGAAACTGGCCAGTATAGCTAGGGTAGAGAGCCACCATTTTCTTTGTTTCGCCCTTGTTGTCTAGTGGTAAGGATTCTCACCGGGGCCACCGCGTCCGGTTCATCTGGTCAGGTAAGGTGATTTAAGGAAACACTAGACTATTTTTTCTGGAGCCAAATAAATGCAAGTCTGTACTCTTTATATTCTCATGTTTCTGCCCCCTTCAATACATTTACTTCCAGAATTAAGTAACTAGACCATTTACAACTTTACATGTACACATCATTCAGTTCAGTTCAAATCAATTTTATTTGTGTAGCGCTTTTTACAGTGGACATTGTCTCAAAGCAGGATCGTTGACTTACGCCAATGCACTTCCCAGGATGGAAGATGTGTTTGGCACGAGCTTGTTTGATGAAATGCCATGGTGCTTTGCTGCTCATCTCTGCTAAAGATTCTCTGCATTTAACACACGGTGCCTGGCAGTTATGGTTAAACTTGTACAGGTAAAGCCCAGTGCAGTTCCAAGTCCAGTGCCATGCATTCTGTTGGCCATCACGGGTATGGGGCACAGGACAAGGCTTAAGTGCAATTTCTTGGATCATTTATGGTTTTATCAGCATATGTTTGATGCTATCCAAAGTGCCAACCGTCTTTCAGCGCCGTAGTAGGATTTCGCTATAGTGGACAGTATCTCCGCCTTCGTCACGCTGAAGACCGGGTTCGATTCCCGACGGGAGTCTGTTTGCATAACACCGGTGCTCTATTCTTTGCACACCACGCGAAAAGAACCATGAGACAAGGCTTAAGTGCAATTCCCCGGCTTTGTGCTTTGGTCTACTCCCACGTGCCAAGCCGCCTTTACAAGCCTTACCAGGAATGGGAGCGTAAGACAAGGCTTAAGTGCAACCCCTTGGCGCCAAGCGTCTTTACAAGCCTTACCAGGAATGGAGCGAGCCGAAGACAAGGCTTAAGTGCAACTCCTTGGCCAAGCGTCTTTTCAAGCATTTTCAAGCCATTTCTAACCCCAACCCTAAGCTGTACATGATGTGAAAGAAAACGTGATTCCCTCAGACCAAGCCACCTTCTTACTGCTCAAGGGTGCAACGTTTAATACACATCATTTAATACTTGACGTAAACACAGTTACGAAAACATTTAACTCAAAGGAGCTACTCCACTTCCAGCGGTAGCAGTCAGGAATTCCAGGAAATATCCCTTTTTACCATTAAATACATTTCTAGTATGTTAAGAGAGATAATACACTTTAATAGTTAGCTTACATTTAGTGTGAATGGCTGAGCGGGCCTAACCATTCTGCTCCGGACTGTCTTTACAAGCCTTAGCAGGAATGGAGCGTAAGACCTGGCTTAAGTGCAACTCTCTTGGCCGAAGCGTCTTTACAAGGCTTACCAGGAATGGAGCCGTAAGACAAGGCTTAAGTGCAACTCCTTGGCCAAAGCGTCTTTTCAAGCATTTTCAAGCCATTTCCTAACCCCAACCTAAGCTGTACATGATGTGAAGAAAACGTGATTCCTCAGACCAAGCCACATTCTTACTGCTCCAAGGGTGCAACGGTTAATACACATCATTTAATACTTGAACGTAAAACACAGTTACAAAACATTTAACTCAAAGGGAGCTACTCCACTCACCAGCGGTAGCAGTCAGGAATTCCAGGGAAATATCCCGTTTACCATTAAATACATTTCTAGTATGTTAAGAGAGATAATACACTTTAGTCGTTAGCTTACATTTAGTGTGAATGGTTGAAGCCGTGGGCCTAACCATTCCTATTGGACCCGTCTTTACAAGCCTTAGCAGGAATGGAGCGTAAGACAGGGCTTAAGTCACAACTCCTTGGCCAAGCATCTTTTCAAGCCCTTTCGAAGCCATTTCTAACCCCAACCCTAAGCTGTACATGATGTGAAAGAAAACAGCATTCCTCAGACCAAGCCACCTTCTTACTGCTCCACTGTCCTGTGCTGATGCTCATGTGCAGTTTCTATGAGCTTTGATGGAAGAAACTGGCCAGCATAGCTAGTGTAGAGGCCACCATTTTCTTGGTTTTCGTCCTAGTTGTCTAGGTGGTAAGGATTCGGGCGCTCTCACAACCGTCTTTCAGCGCGTAAGTAGGATTTCCTCGTTAGTATAGTGGACAGTATCTCCGCCTATCGCACGCGGAAGACCCGGGGTTCGATTCCCGACCAGGGAGTCTGTTTGCCTACACCGGGTGCTCTATTCTTTTGCACACCACGTGAAAGAACCATGAGACGAGGCTTAAGTGCAATTCCTTGGCTTTTTATGTTTTGGTCATTTCCCACGTGCTAAGCCGTCTTTACAAGCCTTACCAGGAATGGAGCGTAAAGACAAAGCTTAAGTGCAACAACTTCACCGGCCCGTCTTTTTCAGCCTTAACAGGAATGGAGAGTAAGACAAGGCTTAAGTGCAACTCTTGGCCGCGTCTTTTCAAGCATTTTCAAGCCATTTCTAAACTTCAACCCTAAGCTGTACACGATGTAAAAGAAAACGTGATTCCTCAGACCGAAGCCACCTTCTTAGCACAACGGGCGTACAACGGTTAATACACATCATTAATACTTGACGTAAAACAGAGGTTACAAAACATTTAACTCAAAGGAACTACACCACTCAACAGCGGTAACGTCAGAAATTCCAGGAAATATCCCTTTTTACCATTAAATACATTTCTAGTATGTTAAGAGAGAATAATACACGTTTATTTAGCTTACATTTAGTGTGGAATGGTTGAGCCGGGGCCTTACAACCATTCCCTATTGGACCCGTGCTTACCAGCATGAGATAACACGGAAGGACAACGCGGTCCGCGCTTAGCCAACGTCCTTTCAAGTCCTTTCAAGCCATTTAACCCCAACCCTAATCTGTACATGATGAAAAGCAGATTTCTCAGAACACGCCACTTACCCCTACTTTCTCAAGGGTGCAACGATTCATACACATCATTTAATACTTGACGTAAAACACAATTACAAAACATTACACTCAAAGGAGCTTACGCCACTATTCAGCGGTAGCAATCATACATAACCACAAAACCTTTACCATACATACAAAAAAAAAAAAAAATAATTCCATTAGATCTGTTTTATACATAAACATTCCAGTATGTTAAGAAAAAAAGTTAGGTGTTAAGTATACATAGTTGAAAAAGCCATCCTTCGAGGAATGTGGAGCTAATACAGCTTCACACCCCCCAAGCTCTTCCATTACCAGAATGGAGCGAAAAAAAGGGAAGAACCCCTGCAAAGGCCAGCCCCACAAAACAAAAAACAACCCCCAAGTTTATGATATTATTTTCATTACTATTATAACCCTAAGCTGACATGGTGAAATGAAAGAAAACATGATTCCTCAGATCAAACACACCTTCTACCTGTGCTGATGCTCATGTGATTTTCATGAGCTTTTGATGGAAGACACTCGGCCAGCATAAACAGTGTGCAGAGGGCCACCATTTTCTTGGTTTTCATCCGGTTGTCTGTTGACTGAGAAGACCTGTGTTTAAGTTGTATAAACACAACATACATATATAAACACACAATCACGAGAAACGCCCTCCAGGGAAACTACAAGCATGAATAAGGCAGGTAATAATCCAAACTTCAACACCTGCCGTGAATCACATTCACACTAACCACACTCCGCCTACTAACTGCCCGCACCCCCCCAGCCTGTCAACACATTAGAACAGTCTTATCAACAGTAAGTAGCATGTCGAAGTGGGATTGAACCCAACCTCCGAAGAAACTGAAACCTTAACACAGCACCTTAGACCACTCGACCATCCTGACTAAAAGTCCCAAAAACTATGCAAAGGAAATTCCAAACTACGCGGGTGCATTTATTTAAACAAGCTCGCAAGAACAAACCCCATACCCCTCAACAGAGGTGCAGCAAAGGAACCAAATGTCAGAAATGGGACTTGAACCCACGCCTCCAGGGGAGACTGCGCCCTGAAACAGCCGCCTTAGATCTCCGCCATCCCTACACACATAAGCTACAGTGTCGTGGACCATGCGCTCGGTATAGCCAATACTTTCCAAATAAAGCACAATTAGATTACTTGAAATAGAAGAACTCTGCCAAGTTATCCACTGCCTCCCTTCCAGGAACACCCCTTGAATCACACCTAACCCTAACCCTAACCCTAGGGTTATAATAATAATAAACTTTATTGGGGTTAGAAATGGCTTGAAAAGGCTTGAAAAGACGCTTTGCCCAGGAGTTGCACTTAATCCTTGTCTTAACGCTCAATTCCTGGTAAGGCTTGAAAAAACGCGCAGCCCAGAAGTTGCACTTAATCCTTGTCTTACGCTCCATTCCTGGTAACGTTTGTAAAGACGCTTTGGCCAAGGAGTTGCACTTAAGCCTTGTCTTACGCTCCATTCCTGCTAAGGCTTGTAAAGACGGTCCAATAGAATGGTTAGGCCCGCCGCTCACCCATTCACACTAAATGTAAGCTAACGACTAAAGTGTAATATCTCTCTTAACATACTAGAAATGTATTTAATGGTAAAACGGATATTTCCTGAATTCTGACTGCTACCGCTGGTGAGTGGAGTAGCTCCTTTGAGTTAAATGTTTTGTAACTGTGTTTTACGTCCAAGTATTAAATGATGTGTATTAACCGTTGCACCCTTGAGCGAGTAAGAAGGTGGCTTGGTCTGAGGAATCACGTTTTCAAATGTTTAAAAAAATTCACGCTTAGGGTTGGGGTTAGAAATGGCTTGAAAAGGCTTGAAAAAACGCTTGGCCGAGGAGCGCACTTAAGCCCTGTCTACGCTCCATTCCTGCTAAGGCTTGTAAAGACGGTCCAATAGAATGGTTAGGCCCGCTCAACCATTCACACTAAATGTAAGCTAACGACTAAAGTGTATTATCTCTCTTAACATACTAGAAATGTATTTAATGGTAAAACGGGATATTTCCTGGAATTCCTGAATGCTACCGCTTTTGAGTGGCGTAGCTCCTTTGAGTTAAATGTTTTGTAACTGTGTTTTACGTCAAGTATTAAAGTATGTGTATTAACCGTTGCACCCTTGAGCAGTAAGAAGGTGGCTTGGTCTGAGGAATCACGCTTTTCACATCATGTACAGCTTAGGGTTTGGGTTAGAAATGGCTTGAAAATGCTTGAAAAGACGCTTGGCCAAGGAGTTGCACTTAAGCCTTGTATTCCGCTCCATTCCTGGTAAGCCTTGTAAAAGACAGTCCGATAGAATGGTTAGGCCCGCCACTCAGCCATTCACACTAAATGTAAGCTAACGACTAAAGTGTATTATCTCTCTTAACATACTAGAAATGTATTTAATGGTAAAACGGGATATTTCCTGGAATTCCTGACTGCTACACGCTGGTGAGTGGAGTAGCTCCTTTGAGTTAAATGTTTTGTAACTGTGTTTTAGGCCAAGTATTAAATGATGTGTATTAACCGTTGCACCCTTGAACAGTAAGAAGGTGGCTTGGTTATGCCATAGACTGAAAACACCTGACACTGATTTCCCCTTCAAACTAACAGCTCACGCTTATGCCCCAACTTGCTAGCACTTACTTTAAAACTGCAGTAAATGTGCTACAATTAGGGTGACTTTCAGCGGAGAACTATCGCGGAACTCACACAAAATAAGTAATGTGCGCAAAATACACAGATGAGACTGCCCCCAACAAGAGTAGCACTTATTGCTGAAATCAGTGCTTCTATTTCCAAGTAATGTAATGGTGTTTTATTTGGAAAGTATTGGCTATACCCGAGCATGGTCCACAGCGCTGTAGCTTATGTGTGTCAGGATGGCACTGTGCATAGAAAGAACCAACTCCACTGCTTTGTTGCCGAAATACCTGAGCAGGGTCCCTAAGTGAAGCCTATACATTTCTCAAACAAATTGCATGGGAATACGTTCAGACATTGGTCGACGATGAAGCAAGGCTGTTTTATGTAGTTGTGGCCGTACCCTCCGGCGAACGGACTGGCAATCAGTTCCTAACACATCCTAACGCAGTTCAAAGAGGTCCTAACAAAGTCCTAACACATTCCTAACAAAGTCCTAACACATTCCTAACAAAGTCCTAACAGTTCCTAACCCTCATGCACCGGGGCAAAACGGCCATTGGTCGAAGCGTAGTGACGTGGAAAATCAACGGATTAATAAACGAGAGAGAAGGAATTTGCAGGAGCCATTTTTCACGATCCTTGGAGAGTACACAGCGCTACACAGATATTCATATATATTTTATAAAGCTTTTTTTTAAGATTTTTTTTGTACCTTTGGATAGATTCGAGGTGAGTCTGATCATTAATTTAACTAAACTTATTGTTATAGGTGCTTTAATATTGACCTAAATATCAGGCCAGCCATTTATATTGTGCTATGAATGTACGGGCTGCTTTAAGTTATAGTATATAGAATAATATTAACAATGACAGCAATAATGACGAATGGAATACAGAGTGGGACAGAGTGTCTGGTGTTTTAAAATGCCGCCAGAGAGAATTCGCGTTTTTTTCTGATGTGAACTCGCGGTTTTTTCTGATGAGCAAACGCCATCCAAACCGATGAAAACTCCTGCCTAGAATTTCATTTAAACTCATTTGGTTGTATCATAAGTAAAGGTGAACAGTTGGGAGAAAAAAAAAAGTCGGTTAATGTGTTAATGAGGGACACGCTTGTGGTTGTGTGCACGGAGTTTGCATGCTCATGTTCCGTTTAGCGGTTTCTTCTTCTTCTTCAAAATTGCACCTTGAGAAAAATCTAGTGCATTTCTGGGCAAACCTTAGCCAATTTTCGTAGAAGAGAGTACCCAGTACTGCCCCGTTAGTGCACGGTCCTGCTCCCCCCGGAGACACACCTCTCTCTGCGGCTCCTCTGTACAGTGAGGGGCAGAGAGGAGCAGCTCATTCATCCACTTCAAACTTTCTCTCCGAGTGATCATTTTACAGATAGCCGAAAACACAGCACAGCCGCTGTATTTAAATTATCATCTAGTAACTGGAAAAGGCAGCATATAAAATGTGCTTGTGTTTTATTTTTATTATATTGTTATTATATTGTTGTTATTATTATTATTATTATTATTACTTAAATAAAGAATATGTTTGAATTACATCTTGTAGATTCCTTGAAAAACAAAAACAATTGTGCTTGAAAAGTTTTTGAATGTCCTGGAATTTCAATATG